ACAGCCAGGCTAATAGATGGGGTTTATCAAATATTTTCAGCCTAGTTTTAGCATTCCAAAGCTTCAGGGATAATGAAGCACGATACATTGTTGATTGCACAAAAATAAAAAATAAATGAGAAATAAAAGTAAAAATACATAAAAAAAACCCTATATAATAGTAGTAGACAATAAACTCTTGCAAGAGCATACTAGTATCTACAATATCTACAGACAAATCCCTCCAACCTCTCAGTTTATACAGCTAATCTATAACACAGCCATATAATTATCTGATCACAGTAGTATTCAGATAAAATTTCCAATAAAATAATTATAGATATTCATAAAATACCATGTTTGGAAAAACATACTAACTATAATCTATTGTATAAATCAATAATTTTAACCTGTTATATCAATAAAGTTCAGATCTGGCATAATTAGTAAAGAGACCTTAATTAAGTAAGATAGATTATTGGTTTTCTCATAGCACCCTTTTCAACAATTAGGCTAGTTGTAATAGATTAAGTTCGAGCTCAAACAAAAACAGTGTAAGTGCAATTATCTTCAAATTTCTATTTAAGATGGATGATAACAATCCAATATTGCACAATCAATTAGAGGGTAAAACAGTAGATTGCCCTCTATAAAAATGGCCATAATAAAGATGATTTGATTTGATTTGTAGTGCTCAGGGTTGCAAAATCTCCCAATCACTTACCTGCTCCAGCTACTATTCTACTCTTTCCTGCCTTCAAGGACTTGATAAAACAGTTTTGGTTAAAACTGGCATCGCTTCCTCCAGCTTCCTGTCAGTTGGACACAACAGGAGGGAGCCTCCTTTCTATTTAACCATTAGCTCTAAACTTGATACTTGTGGAGGCTTTGCAGGCCAGAGGTAGTATGATAGGCAGACAGATCCTGTCTGCCTATCATTGGGTAGATTGTGCAATCAAGTTGCTCTCTGGTTGCATGTTGTGGGCCTCACAGATGATACAAGGCATCACATAGAAGATCTTATTTTTGATGGGGAAGATCTCTTTAATGCAAAAGCAGATGATGCCATGGACCATCATCAAAGCCCAGTTAACAGTGAAGAGGATGAAGTTTGGAACATAATTTAATAAAATCAAAACTTAGAAAGGTTACTTTTGGGAGTATAGATCCCAGAATCCACTAGCCATGGGTCATGCTGTAGTCAAGGGCCTATTTAAGGGGAATTTATGATTAGCCCAATATTGCGAGATGGGCAGGCTACTGTGCCCTGCAGAACCGTCTTCCCAATGTGTATACCGAGAAGACCAGGGAGTCCCAGAAATGGGGCTGAGACAGATGCTTCCAATGAATGTAGTTTTATTATAAGGCAAAAGTCACACCATAACAGGCGCTCACACACTCATACAGGCTCAGGAAAAATAGAGGTTAGCATGGGGATAGAATATGGGCTTCACTAGGGAAATACTCACGAATAGACTAGGCTTGCTTTTGGGGTCCGGAAGGGAAGAGTGGATATGGAGACAAGTCTGCTCCGCAGCGTGGGTTTGAGCAGAAATGCCGGTGACTAGCTTCAGAGGTCAGAGTGACGTGGAGTCGTTTAGACCAGGAAGATAGCACACTGACTGGCCAAAATCTGGGGTTTATATAGGGCCAAACTGGGCCTGAGGCGAGAGGCGATGATTGCAGAGATGACACCCGGCTGAATAGGGCTATATTGTGTTTACTAGTCTTAATCCAAAGGGCCAATATCCTGGGTGTGTGTGTGACTGGGTGTCACAATACAGACATTACCTCTTCTGATGGTTTGAATGATTTGATCAGGTACTTCCATTGGCAACTCTCCTAGACTATCTGGGGGCTATACATTGAGGATTAAGGGTGGTGGCCCATGCCTTGGGCATGGAGGATTTTTGCATCTATGTCCACTGCCAGAGTTCATCTGGAGGTCATCCATGGAGTTTATCAATTTTGATATTAGCAATTTTTATATCAGCAGCACTATGGGTAGCAATGCTGACTGGTAGATTCTGGATATTGTAGTAAAAAAAAATTCTGTTTCCATACTCTAAATATAATATAGCAGTTTAATAAGTACTGGGCAGAACAATTATTGAAATCTTTGACATCAGAAGACTTTGAGGTCAGAATGTATCCAATATATCCAACATCCTGATGTCATCCAACTAACTGGGTGCAAGTTAGGAAGAAACAGCATTCTCCATTCTTCTTTTTAAAAACTGATGTCCCTCCAAGGGAAATGCCATCACCTAGGTGTCATAACATTTTGCCCTGGTAAGAGTGTCTTTATGAGAGCCAATGCAGTGGAGTGATTTGAATGTTGGATTGATTTTTCTGGCAGATCAGGGTTCAAATCCCCATTCAGCTACGGAAACCCACTGGACAAGTCATATTCTCTCAGCCTTTGGGGAAGGCTATGGAAACCCTCCTCTCAATTATTTTGCCAAGAAGACTTTAGGATAGAGTAATCATAAATTAGAATCAACTTGAAAGCATATAACAACACCAAGGGACATCTTTGAGGACTAGGGTCACTTGAGATAGTTTCAATGCAAAGCATCCCATGGTATATTCCTGACCTTCCTGGTATATTCATGACTTTCTTGTGCAGTCTACTTCAGAGCTTAGCCATTGAAGTGGAGGTCTCCAGACCTCTCCCCAACCCCTGAAGTGTGATCATTCATGTGGTTTCTGGGACACCGGCCCAGTGACCTTAATGAGTGCTTTGTTTTTTGGTTTGCTTCCTTGGATTTTCTTCTCTTTCTTCGTGCCTTTTAAATTGCAGTCACCCCCTTTTAGCCTTTTAAATCTCAAAACAAATCGCTTTTTAATCTACATCTTGGGTGATTGACTGCATCTTCTTTTGTAGGTGGGAGACAGGTTTGGAAAGAAAAAGAAGGGGGAAGCAATTGTCATGAGTAATCAAATAGTCTGACATATCCGTCCTTCAAAGCAACAGAATTTGCTTGTCAAAAGTATGTCAAGCTCCCCTGCTCTCCCCTTCAACTCTACTTATACATAAAATATAGATGGTTAAGTTGGCCTTGTCCCAGTTTCCAAGCACTCCATAGGTGTATTCACATCTCCCAATCTGCCACCTGTCACAGCAACTGAAGATTTACAAGTGACAAGTGAGTGTTAATGTCTGCCATAGTTGGCCTCCAAATAGTTGGTGCATTCCCAAGTCCCTTGGCCATTACGTCAGTTTTCATCCCCTTACTTCCAACCCAGCTAGTAACCCAGTGGCTATTTGGAGTGAATCATTCTGCTAAATACATGCCTTCCACACCAGTTATGACTGTAGGGGAGGGGACAGGGAAATGAGTCATTTCACAATGTGGAAAGTCAGATTTTGCCCCTTGGTATTTCTGCGCATGCAGGAGTGATGAGCATTTATTTTTAGATGTTTTTCTCTTTTCTGCAAATGTTGCTTTCCATTTGGAAAGTTCATCCTGAAAGTCACATACTAATGCTCTGCCTTTTGCATGAATTATTACAGGAGAGATTGAACTTATTCCTATTTATTTTCTTTTCCATTTATGCACAGTTATTGCAACAGTATCTGGTTTCAGAGGCCTTGTTTTCTTCCTTCTGAGAAAGTATTTTGAATTATGTAGTAAGCTGATCCTTTTCAAACACCCATTCACATTGGATTCATTTTTGGTCTTGCCTTTTTGAATCACCAGTGGCAATCATGAAGGAAAGAAATAAATGCAAATTCTTCCAAAGTTCAGCATTGCATGGGCTGCTGCAGATATTGTTATATTTATGGTATAGACAAGGTTACTTGAGTAACTGGTGTACAGATTAAATATTGACAAGGAAAGCAAAGATATAACCCTAAAAGAGCCCAGGGAGCCTTCTTGCATGCCAACAAAAAGAGGACAGTTTCAAGGAGGACACAGATTTGGGTGTGATTCGTAATTTATCTATATAGATGCAAATTCAGAAACAATTTCTGTAAGTTAAATCAAAATACAATGTGTTGCACCACAGTGGGAACCCAATGGTGTATATTTGCTTAAACACCTGTCAAGGTGCTTGAAACTTCAGATATTATGCTGTACTTCAAAAAGAGGAACTTTCCCCTTTAAAGCAGGATACCTAGCCATCACAACAGAAGATCTGCATCACAAACCCATCATCTTGGTTCAGTTGCCTGTTCATTTATATTATCTCTATGCAAACAGTGAAGATGATGTACATGAGCACTACTTAAAGTGATGGTCTATGGACCATTGCTAGTTTATGAGCCATTGACTGTCAATTCCTGGAGAGTTTCCCAGAAAGAATGAATGTAACCAATTGGCACAAATATGCTACCAGTTCATGGCATACTGGGGGGAAATGGTTTGTTCTCCACATCAGCTAGCATAAGAAGCATTGTTCTACTAGCTGCTGCTTTCTCTTTTCTAAATCTAAGTAGCATGCTAGGGATACCATTCTTTAGTAGTTGTGTCCCTTGGCAGATATGCCAGTGCAGTGGCCATTTCCTCTTTAATTTACAAGGTTAAGAAGTTACATCTGGGTAGATGAACTGGATGGATCGGTGAGAAAAACTGTTGTTTCAAGTCCTTGAAAGATTCACTGCTGGTTTTAAGCATAGATAACCCAAGAAACAGCACACATGCCATAAACTTCCCGCCCACAACTGCCACATATTATTTACACTGAAACACAATGTACTTATTCTCTGAGTTTGAGCAATAGTGGATTACTTCTGGTTCTGCTTTGTTTTCTTTCAGGCTCTGTACCTTAAGGTGCTGGAGTGATCCCTAGGAAATTAGTGAGTTTCTCATCAGTTAAATACTGGGACAAAATGTTTGCACAAAGAATTTTTGGTATTGTTGTCGTTTGCCTTCAGGTCATTTCTGACTTATGGCGACCCTAAGTTGAATCTATCAAGGGGTTTTGTTGGCATGATTTCTTCAGAGGAGGTCTGCTATTACCATTTGCTGAGGCTGAGAGAGTGTGACTTGTCCAAGGTCACCCAGTTTGTTTTATGGCTGAGCTGGGAATCGAACCCTGGTCTCCAGAGTCATAGTCCAACACTCGAACCACTATACCACACTGGCTCTATAGCATCTCTTTCCAAATTCTATAAATTGTTATTTGCCTCCAAATTCTATAACTTTATTGTATAAAGGTTTTGAAGGCAATACTTGGATTATCTCTTCATAGGGTTTTCATGGTAAAAGATCTTCAAAAGGAGATTTACCAATACCTCCCTCTGTACAATACTAACAAGTGTTAGCTATGGTACCACTGCTGTTGTCTCTGAGAGGTCCTCTGCCAGTGTTACCCTCACTATGCTGCTGCCCAGGAGCTGTCTAGCACTTTTAGTCTGGCTCCTCAGTAAAATCCTATTTGACATGGCAAACACTACCAGCAGCACTGCTGCATGGCGCAGTGGTTAAATGCCTGTACTGCAGCCACTCACTCATAGACCACAAGGTTGCGAATTCAATACCAGCCAGGGCTGAGGCTCGACTCAGGCCTGCATCCTTCCGAGGTCGCTAAAATGAGTACCCAGCTTGTTGGGGGCAATCAGCTCACAGTTGTAAACCGCTTAGACATCCCATAGCGTGATATGAAGCGGTATATAAATAAAGCTGCTTTGCTACGATCTGCATAGTCTCTTGCCTGACAAGAGCATGCAATTCAACCATCACAGAAAGGTAGTCCAGAAGACACCATACTACTAGCACAAAATAGTGAAAATTTGGAGCAGTTACTGGAGAAAGTCAAGGAAATGCAAAGGCAGCTTTTACAGATGGATATTAACAAAACAAAACAAAACAAACAAAAAAGCACACAGATGATTTACATAACTTTAAAGCAAACAATGGACATTGAGATAGAGAAAGATTGCCTATACCTTGGATCAGTCATTAATCAAAAGGAGACCCAGTGTGATGTAGTGGTTTCAGTGTTGGACTATGACTCTGGAGATCAAGGTTTGATTCTCAGCATAGCATGTAACCCACTGGATGGCCTTGGGCAAGTCACACTCTCTCAGCTTCAGGGGAAGGCAATGGCAAACCTCCTCTGAATAAATCTTGCGAAGAAAACCTCATGATAATTTCACTTTAGGGTCGCCATAAATCAGCAACTTGAAGGTACACAATGCACACACAAGACTTTGAAGGGCAGGTATGAAGGAATGAGGTGAGACCCTGAAGTGTAAAGATGGAAGTGTAAAGATATATCATTGAACAGCCATGCCCCATCCTCCATGCTGTCATGGATGTTGGCCACCGCCATCTCAGCCAGAGTTTCAGCATCAGTAATACACTAATAGGAAATGTGTTTACTGGAATATGTTGGTGTTCAGGTGTCATAGCTATAGATGCACTTGAACTCCTTCCTCACATATTCATAATTTGTTTTGCGGTGTTCAGGTGAACCTGCCTTTGGTTTCAGCTCCTGATTGCAGAAAGAGAGCACAGGGACATAGGAATGCAGACATTGCTTATATCAGTCTCCAAAATCTGCTAAAAATTGGTTGTGTCATCTCGAATCTCCCTTTGAAATGTGCTGCTAAACATTTATTCATTTATTTAGGGTATTTATATACCCCTATACCCTTCAATAATCCCAATCTGGTAGGGACAATTCCAATTAATCCTCTGTTGTTCCACTTTTTCAGCTGCTTTCTCTATGGCAACCTAAAGACATCAGATCCTATCTGATCTTGGAAGCTAAGCAGGGTCAGCTTTGGTTAATACTTGGATGGTAGACTGCCAATGAATACCAGGTGCTGTCGGATATATTTCCAAGGAAGGAATTGGCAAACTCACCTCAGAGTATTCCTTGGCTAAGAAAAGCCTATGAAATTCATGGGGCTATCATAAGTCAACAGGCAACTTAAAGGCATGTATACACATGGTTTGTCTCTCCTTCTCCTATTTCCCCCCTTCGTCCTTGGTTTACTTCACTTCTTGCAAACTGAATTCAAAATGCAAAAATAGTTTGCACTCAGTTTGGCAGGCGTGCTGATGGTGGTGGTGAAGAGAGGAGGAGATGGAAATGCACTTTCCTTTAGGCTCAGGCAAAATTAAACTACTATGGTCTCTCCTAGCTTATCTGTTCTTTCTTATTAATCATGTTTGCCACCTTGACCATGTTCAGGTGTTGCCTAGCCAAACATCTCCTAGTTTTAATCTGTGAAATGTTGCAGGATATGTACCACAAAAGGTTCCCAGAGCACCTTACAATTAGTTTAATAGTTCCCTGCCTGCAGGCTTACAGTTTAAATAAGACACAACACAGAAGAAAAAGGTAGGAATTAAGCTGGTTATACTTCCTCCTCCTCAGAAGCCATAACAATGGCATTTTGAACATGAAGCCTGTCATCAGCTTCTGCAGCCCAGGCATGATGGAAATGTGTCTGGCTGCTCTCTTTCTCTTCAGAGGTCACCTGAGTCTAATGAATTCAGGTGACCTCTGAACCTGATAACATGTTCATTTGTAAAATCAAGTATTTTCTTATCTGAAAACAGATAATGAATGTAAGTAGAGAGACACCAATAAATCCACCCACTACTCTTTAACTCTAAGGACACAACAGATTCAGATGTTATTGTTGGAGTCTGTAAGTTGTTTCTTCATAGTCCAAACTTTGGTTTCATGACAGTTGCCAAGGGGAGGAAAACCCACTTGATTTGGAGAAATTACATGTTGAATGAAATTGATCCTATGCTACAATGTTAAAGTATGATAGCTTTTAACTTCTTGGAATCCAAAGAGGAAATCTACATAAAGAATAATTGTTAAGCTAATGAACCTGTTCATGGTGAGTAGTCTCAGTCATGTAGGTAGTACAAAATGTAGCTATAGCATGTGGAGGTAAAGTGGAATAACAAAAGACATAACAGCTCCTGTAGAAGGGGGTTGCCACATAATGTTGTCATTCTGTACTTCACCTGTTCTTTCTCATTTTAAAGACACAAAATTCTGTTAATGACCCCCTTTCTTGCCTCTGTTGTGCTATGGTTTCCAGTGTGAAAGTTCAGTAGTGCTTGAATGGCAAATTGGAGTGGTCAGATGGTCAGTGGACATAATGTGGGCAAGGAAATGCCAACCCACATCTAGTTACCAAGGGAGAAAGAGAAGGCACAGGAATTTCAGTTTGGTCTGCCAGTAGAAGCTCTCTCCTCTAACACTGCTTCCACCATGGAAGGACTGTAATACAAAGTTCAGGTGCCTTCTTTTATAGATTAAACTCCTCATCCTCCAGTGTATCACAGATGATAACTGGGACACGTGCATTCAAGCAACATCAAGATGGCAAAAGTCAGGAATGAGGAAGAATAGACAAGCTAGGAGAGGCTGCAATGGTTTCCTAAACATTTAGACTCCCCCCCCCCAGCTGTTTATAAAAATATATTGACAAATGACCACTCCCCACCAACTCCAACTAGGGCTTATCAGAGAAGCCAAAATGTGCTCACTGCCCCGCTCTTTTTCTAGCCCTGTTTGGGAGTCTCTTTTGCTACAGCGCTGTAGTGCTATAATGCAGCAGGTGCAATAGTGAGGAGAGCATAGCACTTTTCAAAAAGAAGAAGAAGCTGTTTTAATACTAGAAAGGACTCTTGCGATAAGGCTGTTAGTTATGCCATCAGTTCCATTTAAAAAAAACATCAAAGAGGGTGGAGATGGTGGTGATAGGATGAGAAGGAGTTCTTTCCATCCCTTGAACTGTGTCACACAGATAAACAAATGGATTCTTGGCTCTATGTACTTGGATTAAAATGCCGTGGCTGGAGGCCAAGGTACTAATGTACAGGAAAGGTCTAATTTATGAATGCTGGAGTACAACTCTGAAGTCATAGAAGGTGTTCCTTCTGTACTAGAGGGTGGATTCAGAGTATAATGGAAGTACGTAGTAAAAATGTGGTGTGTTGGCTCTGAGTACGGCAGGATGTGGATAATTTGAAAAAACATTTTTGTTTCTTTTTTTTCTTTCTGCCGAAAACCTGTCATTCTGGGGAACTCGTAATATATTTTCTGGATACAGAGCAAAACCATGATATGATCAAAGGAAACTACAGGCAGCTGCTGAAGGGAGATTTGAAGGTGTTTCCTTTGCTCAGAGGAAGCAGCTCCTTTTTGAAAAGCTCCATATTAAGCCAAGCTTTATGCTGTTACAAGTTGAAGACATTTGCAATGTTGAGGCAGAGATAGAGTTTCTATAGTCTAATTCTTCAGATCTACTCATTTAATTTGCATAGTGTGCAAATTATTCTAATTATGCAAATTGTTCTACTTTGCATCCAACTAATGCCCATTCCGCACATTAGCTGTTGCATTTTTACTCTTCCACCATGTTTTATTTTTCACACTTACAACTGACCAGAGGACTTTGGGCCTGAACAGACTGCCAGAAATAATCCAGCTTTGTCACTCACGGCTTTTGAATTGCAGTTACAGCTGGAAAAAAGCAGCACTAGCGATATTTGTCACACAACACTGCTGTGTGGTTAGGGAGTCCTTTTTCATTGATGGGAGAAACCAGTCAATCAGCTTGCAATTGCACTAGTCCCTGGGTGTGAAATGTTGCTGCTGGGCAGTTGTGATATTGGCAGTCACATGGTGTCGGTTTCTCTTCTACACTGCTGCCCTCCCCCTTGCTATTCCTAAATAGGATGGTTCCTTTTATTCATCTTTCTATTTCTTTTCTTTAAAAAATAAATAAAACCTAGATCACAGTAAGAGAGTTCCAGAATTGTGTGAAAAAGTGAAAACAGAAAGAAATTTAAACTAAAAATAAAATAAACCAGAAAGACATGCTGGGTAGGGCATAGAGCAGGGAGGCGTTGTTAAGAAGGAGCCAGGAAGAGACTGCAATGGCAGAAGCAGACCCAGTTGTGTGATTTACAAAACATGTGATAATGACTGCTCACAAACAGGCATAATTCTGTTTTCTTTAACATGCCCGATTGCGGCAAGAATGGGGCTCATGTGGTAATGTCCTGAGAGAACCAGTACAGGGTAGCGTTCAAAGTGCTGGACTTGGAACAGAGAGACCCAAATATCTCAGCAAACCTGCCTTACATTTTGTCTTGCATTTTGC